CACACACACACACACACACACACACACACACACAAACATCTCAACAATATAACGTTCCACATAGTAATATTGTTTGAATTATGGCCTATATTTCACCCGAATTAGGTCAACTACTTGTTAACATGCAGAGCAAATACACCTGACCTAGCTGAAATGCTCCACATTCTGTTCCCTGGCAACCTGAAGTATTTACACCTAAAGTCAATCCATTATGTACCACACATGACATGCATGAAAAGTGACACACGTAAACTTGTGTAACATCTATGCGCACAGATGCAGTAACAAAAGACGAATGTGTCACAAATGAATCCTTGGAGTGTCGTGGTCTGCTGCCTGTGTCAGAATACCTATTTTCTTTTTTGAATGACAAGTAATGGTTGGGTGAGAATAAAAAAAAATCCAAATAAGCCAAAATAAGAAATGCATCTGCTAGTGTGCACAGAAATAGCAGTAAATATCTCTGTGGGTGCCATCATGTAAGTGAGTTAAGATGCTTTAGCTGTGCTTTTCCCTTGTGTTCTCTGACCCATATTTATGAAAAAAAAATCAGACTTTCATTGCCTTCATCTTCACATACAGTACCTCAATGCAATTTTACAATGAGGTCATTTAGTGTTTGTGCACTTGAGTCATTTTTAACCTTAAAAAATGGCATGCTCTGCTCTTAATGTGATGGATTAATTAATTAAAATGAGTGTACTGCTCTTTCCTAAATCAACAACATGTGCTACTGTTAGATGGTATTGTGGGCATGGTTCATTTCTCTAGGGTTTCATTTAATGTCTTGATCTGTTAAACTAGGTGACTAATGGGTCTTTTTTATTTTGCACATCTTTATCAGGATAAAATCACCACTTGATCCACACAATCTCATCATTAGCCACCTTATGAACACCAGAGGGACAACCTCTCATTAGCCAACACAAAGAAGATAACATCATTACCATACAGGATTGAATGTCTAATTAAAAGTAGTTTCTGTGACTCCAGATTCAAAAATGCAGCAAACTGAGTATATTATTATTATTATTATTATTATTTCTGATGGCCTTCCATTTCCACAATGATCTTGAGAGTAAACACTGCTGAAACTGAACATTATAATGAGTGAATCATTTTCACAAACAATAAATGGTGAAGTTAGAATAAGTACAGCAATGACAATAAGTCAGAGACATGTTTTATGATTTTCATTTAATTAATTTAGAGTTCAGTTAAAAATGCAAACTGCAATGCTGGAAAGGCTTCAATCTATGTGCAGTTTTGGTAATTCAAAATGGAGATATTACAATGCAGCAATTTGGTCCTGGTAATGTTGCTCCCATCACATTTTTACATCAATCATACTGATCTATAGAGTGAACTCATAAAAAAACACTAATACACAGAAATACATTTAAATTCATAAAGCCAATATGCAGTTTACAGATGATTATATATTCAGTAATGTATTATTTTTTCACTATAAAAGTGCAAAAAGACAATTTAAAAGATAAATATAAATTTCAGTGATCAGATTTATTGATTTAGCCATTCAAAATTCACAAAAGCTAAAATGAGTGAAACTAAAACAGAACAATTACTAAAGACCGACATTTTATTTGATACTGTAAGCAGGCATTCTGCTGCGTAGATCAAAACTTTTTCAAACCCATAACAAGTAGAAAAACACACAAAGCCTGCATTCATTTGTCTATTTTATTTATAATGCTTAGGATTTTTCAACAAGACCGACCACCAATTATCCTTTTTGTTCCTCCATCGCACTTCTGGCCTCGGACAGAAATTCCCAAATGCCAACAAAAATGAAGCTCTTGGCTTTTCCTGGAACTCTCAGGCAGCTCCGAGAAGGCCTTATGACTAACAAGGGAGTTTTGGAAAAGTTTTTGGCCTGGCGTGACTTGAGGAGACTTCCGTTTGAACCCGTCCATGGCGCTCCCAGAGTGGCTTGCCTTGTTCCACCCATCCTCTGGCTTGACGTTAAAGGGCAGCTGACACTTCCATCTTCATCTAAATGTATTGAGTCTACTTGTAGACATTATTTATAGTTTTAACATATAGTTGTATTTTAGCAGCTTTCACAATAACGGGGATTTTTTTTTTACACTTTCTTTCTGGATCCTGACAGGCCAAACTTTGCTGATTGTGTAACAGCATTAGACTTGTTTAATTTGACTGAGACTGTGATCAGAATTTCAGATATTATTTCTTCAAACCAGTCATGGAAGGCTGTAACAAACAATCATCTGGTTGGACCTCATGTCTCTTTGCAGACTAAACATGAGTTTGAAAAAAAGAAAAAAAGAATAAAATCACTTAGATTGCAACATATCTGTTAAATGCTTATGATAATGATTTAATGGGTTTTAATTAGTCTGCGAGATCTTGATAATTAAAAAAGAAATTCTTAATCATTTTGGGAAAATTTTTAGCATGTACAATTAGTTTTGAAAACTAAAATGAAAGGAACAACAAAATAAACAAATGCTATTCAGACAGGCTTACACTGCCCTCAAGTGAAAAATTACTGAAGCATGGCTTTTCTTTTCTTTTCTTTTCTTTTCTTTTCTTTTCTTTTCTTTTCTTTTCTTTTCTTTTCTTTTCTTTTCTTTTCTCTTGAGATTTGGGTTAAATGTTGTGTTTACATAAAATAAATAATTAGTGTGGTCGGAATTGCCACAGAGTTGGCTAAGAAGAAAGAAACTCAAAATAGCTGTTTTCCTTAAAAGGTTCTTATCCATTCCATTGTTATCATTATAGCCTCCACTGTATTTCCCAAGAAACCAGCTAAATCATTGAGCATATCTCAGTATTTGCACAGTTCTGTTTTGGTTGTTTACCTCAGATACATTAAACTAACACAAAAATAAATAAATCTATTTGTTCTTTTTTTTTTTTTTTTTTTTTTTTACAAAAAAACAACCCTACATCATATTGGCAGTTAGAATGCATTAGTAGACAAATATTGTCGACCTCTTAAAATAAATTAAAGTGTTTTCTGGATTGTGAACGTTTCAACTCTGTTTTCATTACAGTAATTCAAACAACACAGTTTACTCAGACTGAGATTTGTTGTTGTCAGTTCATTTGTTACAGCCTAAATCTAGGGATATTTTTAGTTGCATTTGCAAATATTTGTTACCATACAGAGAAAAGTTGAATGACTTCGAATATTTTATGCCTCATGTCCGTGATCATACACAAAACATCCACTAGGTGGCAGCATCGAATCAAAAAGTCTTACTGACTATTTCAAATATGTCTGAGAGGGTTGTGCAGCTCCTCAAACTAATGTGCAAGTTTTAGATTACATCCACCATCAGATTTACACAGTTTAAATTATAATAGGACAACGGGTAGAAAATAATAAACATCTTAAATAAGTATACAGAAAAGCTTATGGCTAAAAGAAAAGACCCCCCTTCAATAAATAAATAAATAAATAAATAAATAAATAAATAAATAAATAAATAAATAAATAAACGACGTAGTCATGCAAAAACAGTTACACCTCTTATAAAGTAAAATTCAAAACTTGTTTTGTAACACAGTTGATAACTATAAGTGCTGAAAAAGCCATATATTAGCCTATGTTGCATATTATTTTATGAAGGTGTTAAAATATAGATAACAAGATGCGAAATGTGGATACATTTGAGTGAAAAAAATGTTTTGAAAAGCCTAAAGAATCAGAGGAACTTAAAGTTTGATAAAAAATAATAACATTTGAAATAATATTTCTTTAGAAAACAAGTAGATTTTATACGATTAATGCGGTTTGAATTTAGATCAAGAACTTTGTGTTTTTCTAGTACAACACAACCCATTAAAAATATAAAGAAAAATAGCTTGTATCTAATGGTTAAATTAAATAGAGCAAATTGTACTTGTGGACTCAGTTTACACCATTCAGAACAACGTTGTTACAAACGTTGCGTTGCTGATAAACTCCCGTTCATTCGGAACGAGAGGCGCTTTTCTCAATGCAACGTCACCGGTGAAGCAAGTGGTTGAATTCTAAAATTCACAGCAACGGAACATACCAGACAACAAACCAAACGCACCCAGCGTACTTCAAAATTGAACGCGTTTACGTCACGTCGGTATTAACGAATCACGATCTGCATGGGCGGGCATTGTGAAGCTGGAGTTGAGAGTTACCAGGCTAACCTAGAGAAAGAAAGCTAACGAATCGTGAGAGTAGAAGTAGAGCTAACGTTAAAGGAAAAGACAACTGTCAAAACAGCAAGGAGAATAGAAATTTTGGAGGACTGATAATTCTCGTAAATGATTACATAATTGGTTATAGCTAGTTGGTTGAAGACCGTGCTTATTATATGCCTGTGTGGAGCATTTTGGATACTACTACATCGATTGTCCCATTTCCAAACGGAAACCATTTCTGGACTGATAGTTCGTGCTAAGTAGCCTAGCCAAGTGAATAACCCAGGAGACTGTTTGTCACCTAAAAAATCATACTGAATGTTTTGTCTGTCATGAGTCCGGCCGGGTGCTCCCATGTGAACGGTTATAAGGTGGATAATTGGAAACAAAATCTTCGAGTCATATACCAATGCTTTGTTTGGAGTGGTACTGCTGAGACCAGGAGACGCAAGGTAAAAAAAAAACAAAAACACAGGAACTACAACGTTAGTCTTTAAAACTGAAAGAAAATATCTTTTAGGTGGCACAGGCACACATATAACTACCATGTCCCTCATGAAGCACAGTCACTAAACGAACAAAACCGCAGTCACACTGAAGCAGCTACACTGCTGCTGTTAGCTAGCTAGTTATCACCGGTAAGTTAGCCAGCATTTCAAGTGTGTGTTTGAACTGCGGAGACCGGTTGCTTGTTTGCAGTATGACTATTACTAGCAAAACGGTATATCTTTAAAATAACCCATTTAACATTGCTTTTTTATGTTGTTTTCGCTGTTAGCCAATTTAATCGGTTTGCTCGGTGTGAGTAAACTTGTAGAGTTGTGGCCACGGTTAACATTACCACACTAAATACTCCTTCTATTGTGTCCGTAAGCATCCCCCGGGTCACTTCCTTCCCCTGCCCTGATGATCAGTTCCCTGGTCTGAATGTAGGGGCTTCAACTGACTGCTTTATTTGATATTTGTGGGCTCATCCCACCTCCTCTTGGCCTACACCGCTCCCTGTATCATCCGACAAAGTGATGTCACTTTTGCCACCCTTTTCGCTCCCTTATCTCAACTGTTTTCTCTCCTGTTTGTGCCACCATGTTCAAAACTTAGCATTAAATTCACTGCAGCAGTTTCTTTTTATTTGCTCACCAGAGGCTGATGCTTATGTATATTTTACATCTCTATGTCGTTGTGATGAATTAGGTGCTTCAGAGTGATGCAGGCTGGACAGAGCTGGTGAGTTGATGCTTATCCACCTCCTCATCTTCACTGACATAATGCAGGTAGAGCAGATGAATACAAGCTGGCTTGCTTTCTCTCCTCCTGCTTACCCACCTGCTTCAGTGCTTCTTCATGTAATAGACTGAATATTATTAGATGCAAAGCAACATAGAAGGAGGAGTCGGCGCCATACTTGCATCACTTTTATACACTGTTGCAGCCAAAAAGGGTACAAGATCAGAGCAAATAAAAAGCTACGTTTTAATAATGACTGATTTTGTTGAAGCAGGTCTTGCTTGCATTACACCATTAGTACAAAGCTATATACTAATGCTGATTTAAATCAGCATTAAGGGTCTTCATGTTGAGTCATGTTCTCAACAATACGAATGGACGTTTTGCATTGTGCTATACCTCCTGTCACCACTATAAATAAGTGTGTGTGTGTGTGTGTGTGTGTGTGTGTGTGTGTGTGTGTGTGTGTGTGTGTGTGTGTGTGTG